CCACTGGTGAAAGTAAAATCTGTTGGGCTCTTTATGGCTTCAAGACAATTATTCTTATTGCCACATCGCCAGACAGGACACTGTAAAAAAATCCCCTCTGCTCCGATTGGGATGCTGTGGGAACACAAAAGCCAGGAGGAACTGCTGATTTACATGACACCATTGAACGCACCATTGAACGCAACGTACGGACTATTTTAAAAATCTGTCTGAAAAAGAGAAATTTGAAAAACAAAGTTCCAAAATTTCTGAAAAGTAAAATATGAAAAAAGTCATTCTAAAAAAATGACAAAGTTGCTCTAAAAACCTTTTTTACTTTTTTGATTAATACATTTTTCACATTTTTTTTTTTATGAATTACATTTAGCTTCAAACTCCCATTTACTAAACACGTCTTTGCATGCAACAATAATGGAACAAAATTATCTCCATACACCAGAGTAACACATTTAATCCTCCGCACATGACTTTAGATTACAAATGAATGAATGCAGATTGTTTTGCATGATCTGCTTCAGTCTAATGAGTCATCCTTCATCGGTGACCTCATGTTACATTAAACTAATCAATCTTTTAACATCCTGTTAGCGTTTTATTGACCTGCACAGTATTTAAATCCACAAGTCAGAGTCTAATTGAGGAATGTGTCTGAAACGAAGGGAGGAAAGCGGACGTAAGGGATTGCTGCTAACGGCAGCTGATGTGTGTCAGAGCAGCTTTGGACCATCAGGGGGAAAAAGTCAGTAGTTCTGATAAAAGAGGATGATCACCATGATGTGGAATTTCCACAGATGGTTGAGGTCCTGCTCCTTTATCTGCTGCTCTAAGTTAAGAACGAAGGACGCTCTACGTCAACGATCAACGGAGTTTCTGAAATATTTTGATATGAGTCACGCCGATTTATTATTTAACCTCAATAGAAGATGCATGGCTGGAAAACACTTATTTTCTAACTATGCAAACTTTTATAATAAAAAAACCTGAAGTTAACAGCATGTGCATCTTTCTGACGACATAAGGAAGTCTCCATGTGTTGGTCAGCCTCCATAGGCTGAGATAACCGTTAATGAAGCGACATTAAAGGTCAGAGTTCACCGTCCTGATTATTAACCAGCGCTAGCTGGTAGCTCGCTCTGTCCCCCATTAGATAAGCCTCGCCATCGATAACGGAGCTGCTCTCAGGGCCGCCAGCAGAACAGAGGCTCTAATCGGGTCCTAATCAAACCTGATTAGAGTCAGAATTTAAAAAAAGGGTTTAGATCAAAAAGCAGTCAGATTATTGGTCTCCTAATTACTGCTTCACTGGTTTATTGAGTCATTAAATACAGAGAAAATTAAATATTACGCAATATTACTGCATTCTAACTGCACAAGAAAATCTATGCAGCGCATAAAATATAATCCAACATAAACTGTAATTCAGTTTGACTGTATAATTTGTTTTTTTAATTAAAAGCAGCAATGAAAATAGGAGAAATTCGGTGGCTGCATGATTTAGATGTGAGGAGCTGATCTAACAGCTTCTGGGTTTAAAGAAAGTTAAAAACAATCCACTGGACTTTTCTTTTTTTTTTTTTTGGAGTTTGTTTCCGAGTTTGAAGACGTTTCTCTTCCATCCAGGAAGATTTTTCTATTTGAAATGTCAGAAATGAGTTCCAGGTTTTATCCAGTAGCTTTATGCAAAGCCAAATACCAACAATCCATAGGCTAACAAAGAGACCAAACCACCCCCGGTCTAGAGGGGGGGACCCGTTCCTCTGGTTTAATTTGCATGTTTTCTGAAAATTAACAAGGCTTTGATTTAGCTGCTGGAAAAAACCTGGAGCTCAACGCTATTTCTGACATTCAAGCGGGGAAAGGAGATTTATTTAAGAATTTGAAATTAGATTTTACCACCAAACCAGGAATGATGAATGTGGATAAAGTGGGACGCTTTGAGAAAATATAGCTTCTGGTGAAATGGAGCAGGGACCCCCTATTTCACACATATACTGTATGAAATAGTGTTCTATCAAACTGGTTCTATAGTCACTCTATTACAGATGGAGTAATGTAACTAAAGTAATCCCTCCCTGGGATTATTAAAGTATTTCTGATTCCTGGTTGATGGGACAGGTGTTGTGAATGAAACGGTGTCCAGCTTGAAAGAGCTCCTGTGTGTCGCTGAATGTGAGCATTGATGACTGAAGGACATCTTCTGCCTCCGTTTATCTGTTTACTACAGTCTGTTGAATTCATGTTAATGTGGATTTAAAGACATTTCAATTAGTGGAGAAAAAATGCAGGAGGGAATATTAAAAAAGTCTAATCAACCAAAACTTTGGCGACCCCCATGCAGTACCTCTGTAGCCCCCTAGGGGCTGCGAACCTCATGTTGAAGACCTCAGCTTTAGACCTTTAATTTCTAGAGTAAGGAAACATTTTTAAAACCTCGTAATCTTCACATCACAGGAGACAATCTGAACACAGAAAAGCTTCTGAAGCAGTTTGAGATTAATTTTAGAAACAGGAGATGATCCACCTGGTCCAACCTGGCTGCAGAAACCTGCTCAACGACTTACTGTTACGCATTATTTAGGTTAGAACTCGCAAATCATGGATGCTTTTGACAGAATTCAAATGATCTAGATTAATTCAGTGATTACAGTGAGATTAATCTAGATTAAAAAAATTATCTATACCCACCAAGGTGATGTCTGAAAGGTTGAACGTCTCCTTCCTTCCAGAGCAGGACCCTCACCTGATTGGTTTAGCCCACTAAACGTCTCGCCAACTGCGACATCTTAGTTTTTGGTTTTATTTTTTATTTAAAGCCAAATCACTTATATTAAAGCAGAATAATGAAAATTGTTGCCGTAATCTGATTGTGTGATTAAGCTGCATTACCTAATCCTGGTTTATAATAGGCCTAATGTTGCGGATGCGGATGTTGCCAACAGTGAACTCAGACAGGCTGTGTTTACGCCCAAAAACAGGGAAAATCAGTGGAAACGCTGGTATGGAGTTCATTTTATTACATTATTTTTGCAACACTTTTTGTAAATAAAACCGAAAATTTACCAGAAATGTTTCGTCAATGGAAATTTGGGAATAAAACTCTTAATAAAAAAAGTTTTGAAAGTTACTTTGATGTTTGCTCAGATTTATTTTTATCAAATTATTTAATTTTAAATCTGTTTTTTTATGTTATTAGTTCAGCATTTTGTCATGTGTCCCTTTTTGTGTTTATGTGAATGTTTTTTTTTTCAAACTAATTTTTAAGATTTTCATTCCTTTCTTCTCTTCTGGGGGCGGGGCTTTCCTCTGGAGCGAGGAGCAAAGACGCATTTCTATTGGTCAGTACTAGCAACAATATTTTTATTGGTCAAGAGTGAGCATTTGTGTTTGAAGTAAAAACAAATATATATTAAATATAAAATATGTTTAAAAACAGGAAAAAATAATGAGCAAATGAAATCTGGAAAAATACAAAAAAAACAATAAAAAGAAAAATATGAGAAAACTGCAGTTTGTTTTTTCTTGGATTTCATTTTTTTTAGATATCTAGATAGATAATACTGTTGCTTACAATAAAAATGGAACAAAATTCACTTCATAGATGGAAAAAAAACAAAGTTGTCAAATTAAAAGCTGCTTTTGACCGTGTGTATAAATAATTATTTTCTGTAAAGGTTATAGAGCTGATTAAAGCATCGGGGGGGGGGGGGGGGGGGGGGGCATGGTAGATCCCGTCTACAGACAGTTTAGGATCATCGGCAGATGGTCCAATGGAGTCTAGACACAAATCCAGACACACGGAAGATTCTAGAAAACTTATCCCACCTTCAGTGACAACTTCACAACTTTATTCAGCAAACGGAGCAAAGACAAATTTTTATATTAACATTATGTTGGACTTAAAGTGAAAATAATGTAAAAAAGTTCATCCAAAAATAAAAATGTTTTAAGAGTCAATTGATACATTGTTTCTATTTCTGTTTTTTATTTTATTTTTCAAACTTATTTTGACATTTTTGTCTACAGATTTGATCATTTCAGCTTAATTTTTTTTGGTCATTTCAGCTTAATTTTTTTTTGGTCATTTCAGCTTAATTTTTTTTCAAATGTATGTTTTTGAATTTTATTTATTTTATTTTATTACATTTCTCTTTTACAGATTGCATTCTTATAAATTTAATTTTTTAGATCAAATTCTATTTCACTTCGAGTCCAAAACAAACAATTAAAAACGTTTTTTTTTTACGTTCATTTCAGACCAGTTGAAATGCGTCGAGTGCAACGAGATAATTGAAATGCAAAATAAAAAGAATTTATAAAACTCAAACTGAAATTAAGACATTTAAAAAAAAATAAATGTAGGACATTGGTCCATGCTGACCAATAGAAAAAGGAAATCCCGCCCACAGAAATAAAGAGAATACAATCTTGAAAATACAAGAACAAATGTAAAATGTAAGAAAAAAAGCAAAAGTTACTTTTTTAATAATAAACTTGTAAGGTTTGTTTTCTTAATTGCATTTTATTTGACATTTCCATTTAACAAACATGTTTTTTTTTTCGGTTTTTTTTAAATTTCCACTTGTTTTCTTTTTGCAACAATAATGGAACAAACTCCACTCCATAGATTTAGACCCATTTAGACGCAGAAAAGTCAAACTTTTCATCAATGCTGTTAGTTTGCTTCTTTATTCTAATGATTTTAGGCAGATCAAAAGCTTTGATGTTTCTCCTGTAACCAATCATTTAATTTCTTTATCACATTTTTTATCTTTTTATCATTTTCCCTGTGATTAAATAACTTTCCTCTTCTCTGTTTTTGCAGTTTTATTTGGTCAAACTGGAGGCGAATGGGGGGGGTGAAAGTTTGAGAAGCTACGTCATTTTCAGGGCATCGCAGGGCTCTGATTGGCCGCTGCGGCCGCGCGCTGTACAGTCTGAGAGGAGGAGGAGGGATGGGGGGGCGTGTCTGAGGCGCGCGGCTATATGAGCGGCTGTCCTCCTCTGCTCCGGCAGAAGGAGTGACTCCCTGCAGGAGGTGAAGTGATCCAGCTCTCTCAGGCAGATTATCACTGGTAGTTTGGAGCCATGCTGTCCGCCATGCAGCACCTGAGCAGCCCGCTGTTGCTGCTGCTCCTCTGCAGCCCGCAGATGACTGACAGCTGCTCCTGCGCGCTCTCTCACCCGCAGGACGCTTTCTGCAACGCCGACATCGGTGAGTTTTATTCTTTCCTTCAGCATCACATCAAAGAGACGCACCTGAGATCATTCAGTTACTTCATTAACACTGGAAATTAGGATTAGATTAGAAAGCTGGATTTATTATAGATTAATTAGAGCTGAAACAATCAGATTATTGAAATTATTTAATTCAGTAATTGATTAATCATTAACTGGATTATAGAGACTGTTAATCCTGCCTTTAGCTGACAGAGGGACCCACAGAGAGCAGGAATTATACCAAGATTGTAGAAAAATATTTTGCATCTAAGATAGAAATCTTTTTTTTTTTCTGTCAATCTGCTCTATAATCCAGAAATTTTCCAGTAGAAAAGCTTTATTTCACAAAAAGTCTTTATTTAGGAACCTTTTACTATCAGATTATTAATCATCAGATTAATCGATTAGCAAAATCAGCCAGTGGCGCCACCAGGAGGCTGGCCATGGTATTGCACAGGGTGGTCAGTTTATCATCTCTCCCATTCTGCACAGCCAGCAGCTGAACATTAAACATCACAGAATAAACCAGGATCTGTGTTTGATTTCTGCAGGCAGCTTTACCCCCATAGGACATTATGGCTTTTAGTTTCAGTGGCCACCCCAGGAGTTTTAGTGGCCCCATCTGGGGCCCCGCGATGAAACATGTCTGGAGGGGCCACTGGTTGCAGCCCTGATATTTAGCAACACCTGGATCAGTTTATCTAAAGTAAAACAATTTAACTAAGTTTATAATAAACTCCTCTGTGTCTGTAGAGGCTGTGAGAATCTCTACATCTCTGACTATTATTATATCTTCTTTTTTCTGCTGCCTTAATGTTCCTTTTCTCTCTAAATTGAGGATATTTACTGTTTGTAAATGAGGTATTAAATGAGTCACATGTGGAAATGTTGCATCCAGAGAAATGTGCCTGCTGTTCTGATGGCTCCCTGCCCAGGGCGGCATGAACGTAAATATAGTTGAATTTTGGTGGAGTGCGTTAATGTTTGAGCGTGTGCAGAACCAGAGGCTTTAAAACGCTTTGATGTTTTTATAAGATCTTTATTTATCTCCTCTGTGTGGGATTTCTGTGATGGACAGCCAGCAGTAAAGCAGGCGTCACACAGCCAGTTTTACTACCTGGACATGCTCACCCTGCAGCCCAGAATAATATCAACTCGGGACCTGGATTAGCACTCCTGGATTAGCCCCCCACCCCCGGGGAATGGGGCCTGGTTTAGGGAGGCAGGGTGGCTCTGATAAACCAGATACCACATTTTGACGTTTCAATTATTGACTTGAAGTTTTATGAAAGAATCTGAGATTCTATGCAAACTTTATTTAAAACAAAAGGAAAGTTTATTAAATCTGTTTAAATACCAACAAATGAACCTAATCTGAGATATTAATATGCAATTAATAATGTTATTTATAGCATATTTAGAATTTATTTTCATGTAGATTAAATTAGATCCTTTTTAGCATTTTCCAGCCAGCAGAAACAGGTTGGGGAAGGGCATCTTTAGAAGATATTGGTCACTCCAGCTCTTTTTTTTTTTGCACCTTATGGAAAACCCTTTAAGCTTTAAAAACGTTACATTTTACAGCTTCAGTGCTGCGATGGTGTCGATCATTTCATAGCATTAGCTGTTAATCTGTGTTTAATTTGAAGAACTACAGGAACTTATTAGATTACTAAATAAAAAATTAAAAAACTTGAATAAAATAAGGGAAACACGTATTACTTCCAGTGCTGTAAGATTAAAAACCATCATTTAAGGCGCGATATGTCGCTCCAACATACCGTCAGACTATTTGCCACTTTTGTTGGACGCTAACAGTGACGTAGCTCTTAGCTTTAGCCTGAACAGGCGGCTAAATGTGCGCTATTCATAACCGAGAACTTTATCAAGTGTTTATATTTACAAACAAAACATTTTAATCTCCATTAAAGGGCGTGAATAATCCCAGATTATTCAGGTTTCTGCTCCAGCGTCGCCTCCACTCTATCATTACCTGCAAATAGCAGCGAGACGCCGCTGAAGAATGAACAACAGCGCCATTCAGTGGACGGCAGGTGAACTACAGCGCTGAAAGAAACCAATCGGACGTCATTAATTAATTGAATGGAACAAATTTTAATCTAACCATTAAGCAAATAATAGTGGGTTGATTTTTTTTTTTTTTTTTTTTTTGATGTTTTAAAACCATAATTCTAACACATAATCCGGTATTTTTCTAAATGTTAGCAGCTTGGTTATGTGAAAATAGTGAAGTGGTGTATTTTCCAAGTGAGCCCAAAGAAAATGGTATAAAATAAATAAATTCACCAAACAGTTTTAGTTTTGATGGTGTAAAGCGTGACAGAAATAAAGCTTACCTGCTGCTTCCTTCACATGTATTTCTAATATTACAGGATCGTTAGCGTATCTGTTTATTTTCACTGGTAGCTTTTCTTTGGTGCCTCGGCTTTTTATAAGGTCTTTATATAAATGTTAAATCATTAAACCTTTTAATGCAAATTCAGCCAAGTGACCCAGTTGGATTGAGTGAAAATGAAGCTCCTCAAACAGTAATCTGACACCTTTTAGCGGTTTGGATGGCTGCTGATGTTGGACATCAATGGGAACATTCAACCAATCCTGTTTCCAAGGCTTAGATTCAGATTTGCTTTGGAAACTCGCAGTCGTTCAGAAACTGCTCCCAGATCTATTGCTGCTGAATAATCTGGACGTAAAGAATGCGTAAAGAAGGTCTGCTTCTGCTTCTAACACTCAGAGTCTGGCAACATGAAGGGGGGGGCATTCAGGTGATGAGAGAGAAACCCTGTAATTTTCTCTGTCGACATCAAAGCCAACCAGCCTGGATGTTCCCGCTTTAAGACCTGGAGGGGAGTTCAAAGCTTGTTGCTCTTGTTTTTTTGGCCCCAGCCCATCATCATCATCCTCATCATCATCGCCCACCAGCACCGCTAAAAAAGAACGGCAAAGAAAAAGCCCTGGAAACTGGGTTATGGAGGCCGCTCTGTTTACGCTGTGAGGAATATTGTCAAGCGAGGCGTTTTTCTAGTTTTTCAACTCCTGCTCAGGTTGAATCGACGGCCATAGAACCGCTGATGGACAGATCTAGATGTTATTTAACTGTGACACATTCAGGGACCTAATTGGCTTTGTTGGAACAGGTCAATCACTAAAGGTCCGCTCCTAAGGAAGATCATGGCCGTCTGCCAGGTCAGAGCGAAGGTTTGTTAATAAGCTTGTTCCTGGATGAACGGGTGGCAGGAGAACGCCGTTACAAGGTTGCACCATTCCCTGGTTCACCTCCAAGGAATTCCTGCTGAGACTGATTTGTTCTGCAGAGAAAAGCTTCTCGAACCAAAACAAACTTTGCTTTGGATTTGATTTATGTTTATATTGGGTTCTATTTAGGCTTCCTGGCGGTTCGAAGCTCACTTCCTCCTCTGCGGTGTCACAGGTGACGGCTTGATAAGCGGGATTCAGACTCCTGCAGTGAGGCGCGTTATGTAAGAGCAGGAGGCTTACAGGGTTTTCCTGAACGTTGGATGAAATACGAGGAGATGTCAGAGTTGGGATTCCGGACGAGCCTGGGATGTTTATCCCCCCCCGATCCAGGCGTATCAAATCTCCAGCTCAGCCTCCTCCCCCCTGTGGGGGCTGTGGACAATGGCCCAAAAAACACCCATCACAGCATTTAGATTATGACACTAAACTATGATCTCACTGCTTTAGCGAGGTTTAAAATAAAATATACATTTAGGAACTCAGATTAAAGATGTAACCTGATAACAGGTACCTTAGAAACGAGGAATATATTAGACGCTGTGTTAGTTAAACCCTGGAATGTCTGACCTTCACTGGAAACTTTAAAGCTAATGAAGTGATGGAATATTTGCAAACTGTTATGTAATTGCTAAAGGAAACTCTGCCCAAAAAAACTTTCCTTGTAAAGTTCATCAGAACTGAAACGAGAGACAAAGTTTAAAAAAAAAAAAATCAGTAAATATTCCTATTTGATCACATTTTGCATTCAAAGTGTTTTCATCAATTTTTAAACTAATCATTAGTTTCAGCCGGAATAGAAACGCTTTTCCAGAATCTGAATCCAGTTTACAGCCAAGTAGGTTTGAATGGAAGAAAAACATTCAGACTCATTGGAATCTGCCTTTTTATTTACATCGACTTTTAAACACCACATTTTTTTACACAATTAAATCCTTACGCTGATTTATTATCAGGTAAAAATGTGCTAAAAATCAGCTGCAAAAATGGTACGATCCAGAAGAAGTGGCTATTTTTAGACTAAATGAGCTAATTTCATTGGCTAGAAGCTGCTTTACTGCATCCAGCGTGGATTGGTTTGGCTTCACTTCACCAAAAGGTTTTTACAGGCACATTTTTTGCATCTGAATTTTATTGCAGCGGAATTTTCACCAGATAAAAGGATATCAATATGTAAAAAAATCAGTTTAAAATTCGATGTACTACAAAAAAGGCAGATTCTAATGAGACTGACTTTCTTCCACAGGTTTGCAATTACAAGGAATTTGACTTGGTGTTGATGTTGCAAATATATATATATATATATATATATATATATATAGCTATATACAATATAAAGTGACCCCCTCTCCAACCCAGCAGTCGGTTCTTTTGAATTTTTTAATCTTTATAGATTAATGGACGACTTTGAGTTTATTTATGCAAGTTTATTGAACTTTAATGGATTTTTTCCAGTCCTGAATGATGCTCCTAAAGAGTGCTACCACCGTGAACTTTCTAAATGTGTCCCTCCTCTAACACACCTGGACCTAAAGAAAGGTTTCCTGCAGGGTTCTTTAGAACTGACTCAGATGCTGATGAGGAATTCGGCCATTTTTTACACGCAGCTGGAGGTGGATGTATTCAGAAGTTGTTGGATGATGGTTCTGGAGGTCTGGACCCGAGGATCCCTGACCTACGTTGACCTTATAATTAGGGATGCACGATATAATCGGCCCC